GACACTAATGAAGTCCATGCTACCATCGACTTGATATTTAGGGAACGCAACAATATGAAGCCATCTTTACGCGTGGGAACAGGATTATTAATGTCAGACGAAGCGGGAATTCCAGAGAAACAGTGAGCTGCAGGCTAACAACTTTTACATTCTTTCCCAGATATTTTCCTAACTAAAAAAAATATGGATATGACAATTACATCAGAGGATACAAGGACATTCGCTCTGGCAGATGCCACCAAGATTGCTTGATTTGGAAAATTGTCAGCTCTTTTATGATCCAGTATATGGAGCCATCTTTGCATGGGAACAGGACCAATATTGTCCAGAGGAAGCGGAAATTCCAGAAAAACACCAAGCAGACTTTAAAAAAAATACGGATATGAAACTTATATGAATGGATAGAGGGCAAATTGTCCTTTCAGATGCAAAAAAGATTGCCAGATTTGGACAACTGTCAGGTTTTTTATGATGCAATATATGGAGCCCTCTTTGCTCGGGAATGTGTAGACGAACCGCTAATTCCAAAAAAACAGCTAGAAGCAGGATCATACATCTTCTATCTTCTGTCAAGAATATTTTCCTAAATAAAACAAACATGGATATGAAAGTTACATGAATGGATAGCACGACATTTGTCCTTTCAGATGCTACCAAGATTGCCAGATTTGAACATTTTTCAGGTGTTTGATGATCCAGTATAAGGAGCCCTCTTTGCCTGGGAACAGGACCAATGATGTGCAGACGAAGTGGGAATTCCAGAAAAACAGCGAGCAGCAGTATGGAAACTTCTGCCTTCTTTCCCAAATATTTTCCTAAATAAAACCAACATGGACATGAAACATACATCAATTAATAGAGGGACACTCGCCCTTTCAGATGCCTCCACGACTGCGAGATTTGGACATGTTTAAGGTCTTTTATAGTGCAATACATGTAGTCATCTTTGCGCGGGAAAATGACCGATAATGTACATACGAGGCGGAAATTAAAGAAAAACAGCAAGCAGAAGCATAGTAACTTTTGCCTCCTTTTTGTCTTCTTTAACGGGACCCAGTATAGATCAGACTACGTCAGAATTGCGCAAAAAATAGGAGGCAGTTGGACAACACCTTGCACCTTTCTTTTCCAGATATTTCCCTAACTGCTGCAAATATGGAAAAGAATCTTTTATGAATAGATAGACGAATATGTGCCCTTTCACATTTAGATTTAGATAAATTTTACACCTTTAATTCTCCAATATATGAAGCATTCTCTGTATGAGAATGGGACCCGGTAAAGAGCAAACTAAATCAGAATTACACAAAAATAAGAGGCAGTTGATAAAAAACTCGCACTTCCTTTTGCAGATATTCCTCTAACTACTGCAAATATGATTATGAAACTTATATCAATAGATAGAGGAAAATATGCCCTTTCTGATGACACCACGATTGCAAGTTTCAGGCACGTTTTAAACCAATTATGCTCGATTATATGAAGTATTCTCGGTCCCAGGGGAAGACCCGTTTGGCCCTGACTACTCCAGAGTTACACAAAAATATGAGGTAGTTGGACATGTACTCCCACTTCCTTTTGCAGATATTTCCCCAACTACTGCAAGTATGGATATGAACTTATGTGAATAGATAGACCAACATGTGCCCTTTCAGATGACACCAAGATTGCCAGATTTAGATAATTTTTAGACCTTTTATGCTTGAAGATAGGAAGCATTCTTTGTGCGGGAAAAGGACCGCTATAACGAAAAGTCAGTATTACTCAAAATAGGAGGCAGTTGGACAAGAACCCGCACTTACTTTTGCGGATGTTTTCCTAGCTACAGCACATATAGATACGAAACATATATGAATAGATTGACGAACAAGTGACCTTTTAGATGACACCAAGATTGCCAGATTTAGATAATTATTAAACCTTTTGTGCTCGAATATATGAAGTATTGTCAGTACGGGAAAACGACCGGGAAAGCGCCAAGTCAGAATTACTCGAAAATAGGAAGCAGTTGGACAAGAACCCACACTTCCTTTGCAGATATTTTCGTAACTCCTTCAAATATGGATATGAAACTTATATGAATAGATAGGAACATGTGCTCTTTTAGACGAAACCAAGATTGATAGATTTGGATACTTTTTCGACCTTTTATGCTCAAATATATGAAGCATTCTCACTTTTGGAAACGACAGCTAAAGCGCAAAGTCAGAATTTCTCAAAAGTAGGAAGCAGATGGACAAGAACCCGCACTTCCTTTTGCAGATATTTCCCCAACTACTGCAAATATGGATATGAAACTTATATAAATAGATAGAAGAACATGTGCCCTTTCAGAGGACAACAAGACTGCAAAGTAGGAAGCAGTTGGACAGGAACCCGCACGTCCTTTTGCAGATATTTTCGTAACTACCTCAAATATGGATATGAAACTTANGATTATTAGATAGAGCAACTTGTGCCCTTTCAGAGAACACCAAGATTGCCAGATTTTAATAATTTGTAGACGTTTTACACTCCAATATATGAAGCATTCTCTTTACGGGAAAACGACCGCTATAGCGCAAAGTCAGAAATACTCGAAAATAGGAGGCCGTTGGACAAGAACCCGCACTTCCTTTTGCAGATATTTTCGTAACTACCTCAAATATGGATATGAAACTTATATGATTAGATAGAGCAACATGTGCCCTTTCAGATAACACCAAGATTGCCAGATTTAGATACTTTTTAGACCCTTTATGCTCGAATATATGAAGAATTCTCTCTACGGGAAAACGACTGCTGTAGCGTAGATAACACAGAGATTGCCAGATTTTGATAATTTTTAGACCTTTTACACTCCAATATATGAAGCATTCTCTGTCCTGGAAAGGGACCGCTACCGCGCAAAGTCAGAAATACTCGAAAATAGGAGGCCGTTGGACAAGAACCTGCACTTCCTTTTGCAGATATGCAAATATAGATATGAAACTTATACAAATAGATAGAGCAACATGTGCCCTTTAAGATAACACCAAGATTGCCAGATTGTGATAATTTTTACACCTTTTACACTCCAATATATCAAGCATTCTCTGTACGGGAATAGGACCGCTACAGCGCAAAGTCAGAAATACTCGAAAATATGAGTCCCTTGGACAAGAGCAAGCACTTCCTTTCGCAGATATTTTCCCAACTACTGCAAATATAGATATGAAACTTACGTAAATAGATAGAGCAACATGTTCCCTTTCAGATAACACCAATATTGCCAGATTGTGATAATTTTTAGACCTTTTACACTCCAATATATCAAGCATTCTCTGTAAGGGAAAAGGACTGCTAGAGCGCAAAGTAAGAATTCTCGAAAATGAG